CGGGGACCGCTAGGGGGCCTCGCCCGCACGGGAAACGGCCGCCCGCCGTTTTGCTGGGCCTGGCGGCTGCGGTGTAGCCGGGATCGGGGCTTTGGTTCCTGGAGAGGGCGTGAGGACGTGGCTTGGGGCTTGCTCCCGCATGGGTGCTGCAGCTGCCCGCACCCAGCAGAGCGAGTGCTTGGGCTGTTGGCTACACCCTTCACAAAGCATCTGGTAGCTGAGGCAAAGCTGCTCTGCCCCTGGAGAGCTTCCCTCTGAACAGGGGCCAAATCCAGCCCTTGGTGAAAGCCTGCTCTGGCTTTTAGCCTCTCTGACACTTCTTCCATCTGTGCTGTATTTCCTTGTCTGCATGTTGGTCTGTAATGCATCACTTCTTTGGTTTTCCTTGTACAGCTGAGAAAAGGCAGGAAAAGTTACTGTTTCATAGCCTTCCTCAACCCCCTGAAGGACCTTTAAATCAGCCCTTTGGTCCAGTAGCACAAAATAAGCCAAACTTTCTACTCTCACCCTTCATTCACAGTGTGCATTGTGGTGTGGGTAAGAACAGGCCATGGAGTGGGCTGATTAGAAGGGGTGGTTCAGAGGAGTGCTACTTGATTTATCCTCTGTTGAATCTAGACTGCTTAGTTTTGTTTTGTTTTTTTGTTTGGTGCTTTGTTTGCAGGTTTGGAGCTGGGAGGGTGTTTCAGTTGTTTATTGTTCACCAGTCAAAGAAGAAAGAGAAGCGGTGGTGTAAATTGATTGTGAAGTGCTTTAACACTATGTTCAGTGAGCTGGAGGCACAGTTGAAGGCCAGGCAGCAGGGGTTGGAGAGGATTGTCATATACCAGGGTATTCAACAAGGAGAAACAGGAAACATGGTAATGGTTTGACTTTGTGTAACTTGTATTTGTGGAACATAAAGCAAGCTGAGGATATATACCAGGCCATATCTAAAGCAAGGGAAAAGTCTCCATTCAGCGCTCTTCCTGAGCTCAAGGTAGCTTTTGAGCAGTGTTGAAATGTGGATAAGATTTGAAAATATGCGCTTTGATACTACTCCAGTTTTCTCTGCTGTTTGTAGCCTTTAAATCTTGGTACTTGTAATTCACCAGTCTCACTGGCTGTGCGTGCCTGGTCTGAACAGTATTGTTGCATTAGTCTTCAACAACGATCATGTGCGCCCAGATGTAGTGTGCTGTATTGAGCTTCTGTGGGATGGAGATGGCAACTTTCTCTCCCTCTCTCAACTCCTAGGAGGTGCCAGGCAGCTTTCAAGTGAAGTGGTACTTCTGTTTGTTGGATCTGAGCTGTGATGAGTTCAAGCAAGTTTATTTCAAGTCTGCCTGGCTCTGTAAGGAGAAAGCTGCCCAGTCTTTTCTTTGCCTGTTCTCCCCCTTCTTCCCCATTTCTGATTGATATTTATGTTTGTGAAAAAAAAAAAAAAAGGTCATGCTTACCTGTAATAGATATATTTTGCTTGGAAAACTGTTTTGGGTTCAAAATAACTGCAGTTTACTTGCTGTCAAAGTAAATGTGGATGAAAAAAAACACAACCTGAAAACCAGCTCAGAGCTGAGCTCTGTCATGACAGAGCATGCAAACCTTGTACTGGCCCAACACAGAGCTGATAAGGTAGTTCAACATTGTCCTGCTAGACATGCTGGAAAGGCTGAAAGAGCCCAGATCAGTTAGCTGCAGGACAGTAAGCTGCAGGAACTGGTATTAAGGGACTGTTAATATGTGGTTAAAGTCCCCTTGCTAGGGAAGGTGGGCCAGACACTGGATTGCTCTTTGTTTTGGTACTGGTTAGTACCAAACTGACTAAGTTTGCTAAGTCTCCTTGAAGAGATCTCTTTTGCATCTGGCTGGGGAGCAGTGCTGGTCTGTGTTGAGCCCACCTGGTCATGGGTCAGTTCAGACTGTCTCCTGGCTACTTCCAGAATAATAGATGGATGTGAAATAGATGGATGTTGGTTACTTTTGCTGTGGATAATGAAACTTCTTTGCTCCTCCTGGTTAACTGTGTGTGTGTGTAGCAACTATCTTTTGGTGTTTGCCAGACTAGAAACAACTGGAATGCAAACTACCTGATTTCTTGTTTCATGGCTGTGGACTGTTTTATGCAGCTTTGTACTGTGAAATATGGGAAACCAGGCTTAGCCAAAAGTGAGTTGCCTAGCAGACGCTTACTGTCATACAAATTAGCCACAGCTTTTGCATCTTGGAGTGCTGCCAGCAGAGCTAGCTATTGCATTAAATGTCTACTACCAGTCATGATCTAAACTGAAAGCGAGAAGATTAATTGCTCTTCTAGCATTATCTTAGCAGTTAGCACTTTTTGTGGTGTTAAACATGTTTTTCCTCTTTAAACCCAAACCGCAAAATACTGCTCTCAGTTTCAAACCAGTGAGTGTATGGGAAGAACAGGAAAAAAAAGCAATTAAGTATAAGTATCACACATGTATAAGAGCTATCTTGCTTTAAAGTGGAAAGGGAAGCTAATTGTTTTAGTGCTGCCCATCTGGTATGTAACAACAAATACCTTCAAAACTATAGTTTCAGGAAATATATGCCTTAAAGAGTGGATACAGTTTACTTGAGCTACTAGTGGGTACTACACAATAGCTTTCAGTAACTATTTTCTTTGACTTTTATTCTGCCTCAACCAAATAAATTAATACATAATTGTACTAATGTAGTTTGACTAAAGAAACACAGTACTTTTTCCTTGCCTAGAAATATTTCCGTCTGAAATTTTCCTGAGTTGCAAAGTTCTTAAGAAGTAACTCACTTGAACAAGAAATAAACAATGTTGGAATTTTGGAAACTTCAATAAGCTGCTGAGGATATAAGGTTGTTTTTGGTAACTGATGTCTGTTGTAAGGGAAGAATGTGACACCAGAAAGGCTAGTTTGAGTTCTGTTGGTAACCTTGACTGTTCATACCAATGCTGCTGATTTCTGTTTCTGTTCTCTGTAAAATTTCTTCTTAGCCAAGCTCTTCATCACCAAGGCTTTCATTTCTGCACTTACTAAATGACAGATAGAAATGCTAGATCAAAGAAATGTTTATGTTTCTTCTAGAGGTTTAGCTTTCCTGATTGAGGAGGAAAGTGAGAAATTTGACCCAGGCTCCCCTGAGACAAATGAAAAATCCTAGAAAAAAACTCCAAACCCTAATCTATTGAATTCATTTCAGAATTCTGCAGGGGAGGAGATAGCATCGTCTTCTTGTAATTTTTAGCAGTCCTGCTATTGGTAGTACTGTCCCTGTAGTGCAGCAGCCCTTTTTTGAAGAAGAATATGAGAGCCACCAACAGATGCCATTTACTCCTTGCTTGTGTGTGGGAGTGTTTGTAAGTGCCTGCTGTGACCGAGTGACTGCTAACCCATTAGTTCTCTGCCTGAGAACAGCTGCCTATGCACTGGCGCAGCTCTTGTTGCTACATGAGACATGGTGTTTGGTTTATCCTTAATCCTTACAGGGCTGCTACAAGAGTTTCCTGTCACTTTTCTTGCAGCATTTACTCTTTGGTCTGTAGAGTTCAGAAAAGCCTGTTTCTTTTCTGCAAGGGAATCTGAAATGTAAAGGCCAAATGGTAATGTGTACTAGCCTAGAAATAATGTGCTGAGTTTGTAACTGCTGGAGAAAATAATTTGGCACATAGTTATTTCTGTATACCTCCCTAGCACCAAGAACAATTAGGCACCAGCTGAAGACAGTGACTGCCAAATCCACATTTGGATGAGGTGGGTGTTTCTGGGTGGTGCAGTCATGCGTTAACAAGTGTGACTGCATCACTAAAACAAAAGTATATTTGTTTCCCCAAGACCTTTGTAGGGATATACCATCCTTAAGAGGAAAGGAAACTGATAAAGCATCTGGTGGGAAGGAAAGGTAAAGAAATGAGTACAGGATAATGAGGTGTATTTAACTGCTTGCTGTTAGCAAAATCCATCCACCTGAACTGGATATAATGTTCACAGCTGCTTCAGGAATTATTCTCTGTGAAAGCTGAAGCGGGAGCAGGTCAGCTGCTCCAAAGCCAGCTCTCTGGGTTTTAGAAGGAATCTAAACTGATGGGCGGATGGGTGGGCAGCAACCAGCAACAGGGAGAGCAGCTGAAGCAGGAGCAGGGATAGAGATCTAGGAAGCTTTGTGCAAACCCCAGAGCAACTGTAAGCCCCTTCCCTGCAACGCATGCACACAGTCTTCTGAGAGAGATAGGAAAAGGGCCATAGTTTGGTTTCTTTCTATTTGCTGAGTTACGACACAGAGCTACTTGCAAAAAATCTTAGTTCCAGTGCATAAAATCTTGCTTTCTCTTGCTCCTTGAATCCAGTGCTAAGCTCCAGTGGATACCTGTGTGCTTAATGGAGAGGGCAAAGCAAAATCCCAAGGAAATCTTAACCTTTATGCGTTTTGAAAGAGGAGCTCACTTTTTCTCTTAACACATCACATACATGGCTAAATACTAGAGATTAAATGATCTTGTGTGGGGTTGTGTTGTTTGGCACAGTGGAGTCTGCTAGAGAACGAGTGATGAGTTGCAGTCAGACACAAAGAAATGATGGTCCACAAGCCGCAAGTACTTTTAATGGGATAACTACCTGCTCATTTGCTTAGATTTCTTGTGGTTGCATCTTCCACCACTGGGGTGTTGGAGGGTGAGCAGATACAGCTCAGCGCAAATGATATAAAAGAAACCACCCAGCATCTTGAGAAATGTTTAGCATCTGAATTAGATTCAGAGTATAATACCATTAACAGTGCATAAATGACAGCTATTTTCTGTTTATCTACATATTGTTCCATTCTTGGACCTTTATCCATTATTATTTAAATAGGAGTATTTTAAGTATCATTTCTCCTCAAAAGCAACCCCTGTTTTTACTTCTGATTTGATTTTACATGACATTGTCAGACTTCTTACATGTAAGAGGATAAACAATATACTCTACCCTTCTGCAATCATAAACGGAGAAGCAGGGGAGACAAAGATAGATATCCTGCCCTAGATATCCAGTGCTATGACTGAGTACCCGGGAAATGTGAGAAACAGGTCTTCAATCTTAGATGTTTCAGTGGGGTTTTCTTTGCTGCTTTCTGCTACTCTGCTAATCCTTTTAGAAAGCTGAATTCCATGGCTTTTCCTGGAGACAGCAGAACACAGCTGATGTTTAAAGCAGTTTTTTCTTTCATCATAATGCAGCCATTGCCAAGGTCACGGGGGCTGCAGAGGCTGTGCTCTGACTGCAGTGGTAGGAAAGTGGGCTAGCTTGCACTGACCATCCACCAAATTCCATCCTGTCGCATCCTAATATCTTCAAAATTTAGCTGTGCTACTGCTGTGCTGGAGCTACATGGCATGACGAGCTTTCCATTAGATTCCTGGCTGGGTTAAAATCAACAATAAAGCAAATGCACTGTTTCTACTACTTGTGAATAGCATCTCATTTAGACCTTGATATGAAAGCAGAATACAGTAAGTTGCAAGTGACAGAAACAAATTAGCTCAATATTTCAGGTTTCAAACCTTGTCATCTTGCAAGAAACACCTCTGACAGCTGTTGTGTCAGCTGGTAGCTAGTGGGCAAAATATGAAGATTATTTAACTGCAGAGTTTGTAATACAGGGAAGGGGGAAGGGGAAGAGAACAATGACAGTGATGATTTCTTTCTGGGTTTTCTTGTCTAATGCAAACTACTGAAAGTCTCTTGGAAGAAGAACTGCAAAGACCAGTGGGTGATACCTTTCCAAATCTAACGTGTGCATAGTGGTCTTCTGTCTCAGCTTCTTTGAGATGTCCTTAAGCTGCTGGCTCAGGTGCCAAATCGGTGCTTTTGCAGGAGACTGCTGCTCCTGACAGTAGGGTTTGTAGTTCCTGTAAGGAGCTTCAAGTCCCTATTTCTGCTAGAAAGCACTGAATGGCTGGCAATAAACTCAGAGCCAGAGTCTTGCTGGCACAGCCTAGATCTGTTTGTCCTGAAAAGTGCAAAATCCATCCTTGGGTTCTGGTGTGGCTTTTAGCAGCTTGCCTGCACTTAGGGGTAAATGCCTACTTCCCTGTTAGTACCCTTAGCTGGTGGTAAACTTGCTTTGCTGGTTTTGAGGTGAGGGCTGTTCTTGCACTCAAAAGCGCTGTGGGCATGTAAATCGAAGGCTGGCATGTAAATCAAAGCTGGCCACAGTGCCATTTTTGAGGCCTTAGAAGGAGCCCACAAAGAGATTTGTTCATTGTGGTTACCTTTGACTGAACCAAGCTGGTCAGGGCTGGCTGGAGTGCCTGCAAGGTCCTTTTAGCTCTGCTGGGACTGGGGACATGGACTAAATGCTTTGGGGGAAGGAAGTGCCAGCCAGTGAGCACCCCACAGGATCCCCTGCCTAGGTGGGCACTGTGTACTGAAGTCACTTCCTCTGCCCTTACTGCAGAAACTGCTGCACAACCTTTTCCAGGGACCCATGCTGCCAGTACCATGGTCGGTATCTGCTTTCTCACAGGCTTGGAAAGAGGGTGCACAGCCCTATTGCTTGAGGCAGCTGAGTAAAGAATTGGGGGACACCAGTCTTCTGAGCCAATGGAGGGCTGAACATGCTGAGCTGGAGCTGTTAGCCAAAGTTCTTCATTAGGTGGCACTCAACCAAACCTCACTAAGCCACCCAGTGACAGCAATGCTCTAGGGGCTCCTGCACAAACTGTGTGGCTGGGTTTGGTGCTGAAAGTCATATGAGCCGTGCCTCATAAGGTGTGTGAGGTAGGGGTGAGGACATGAAGAAAGGAGTCTCATGCATTTCTCCTTTCTCACATCTCCATTAGGAGGACCAGGTGCTCTTTATGAGCTTACCCTCCCTACACGCTACTGCACTGGTTTCTCAGAGCACCAGGCACTACGTGTACCCAGCTCACTGGAGGTGCCCCAGCTGTCTGGCTGTTTCCCTTGGGGCTGTGCCCACATCTCTTGTGGATGCACAGTGGCAGAGGGCTTGTAACACTGGCTGGCTACGAAACTAATAACCCATGAAAGCACCTCACCTGCTGCTGGAGTTCTCTGAGGGCAAAACACAGGCAAGTCCTTCATCTGCAGGAGAAAGCCAGAGCTGCAGCTGCACTCAGCTAATCAACACAGGATGATGCTAGATATGTTTAAGTTACTACTCTTCCCTGGGAAAGGGTTGGCTCTGTGCTGCAGGCCTGTGCCAAACTAATAAAATCATGTCTTAATTCCAGGGTGTATTTTCTGTCTTATTTGTGATTAGGGTGTGTCGTCTTTTTTTAAATTTTGTTACTTTGTCTACTTCAAGTGTATATTTCCTTCATATTTAAGGTAGTACCTTAGGCTTCAAGCTAGGCAGCTGTGCAAATCCCAACTGGATTAGAGCCACAATATGCTACCTCTTTTTCCAGAGCAAAACTGACTGCAGATGATCCATCTCTTTAAAACTTGGGCAATTTATGCTCCCAGTGCTACTGATACAAAAGTCATCATGTAAATGAAGAGTCTCAGTGTTTTTTCTTAAATACAACAAATGTCATCTCAGTTATATAAATTTATACAGGTTAAAAACCCAATGAGTATGTTCTCCTTATATGAACAAAAGCTCTTAAAGATATTGCCTACACCGCACAAGCTTCTGGAAGGCTTTCTTGAAATCTTCATTAAAGATTGTGTAGATTAGAGGGTTAATAAGGGAATTTATGTATCCCAGCCATGCTAGGAAATTAGACATGTCTTCCGAGATGTGACATCTTTCACAGGTATTAACAACTACTTCTTTTACAAAGAAAGGGAGCCAGCAGATCACAAATGCCCCTAAGATCAGACCCAGCGTAGTTGCTGCCTTTCGCTCTCTTGTGCTAGAGATTCTCTGTTTTTTCCAGGACTTCTCATGCTTAGATTCAGACCTCGGGCTTCGTATGGTGATACTGATTTTATCACAGTTCACCACGGGATCTGATGTCTTCTCTGCTGTGCTGGGCATTGAAACTGACTTGGTGCTTCTTTCACCTGCATCCAAGAGCACTTGTCCATTTACCTCCTCCCTTACAATCCGGCTGACGCTTCTTCTGTGAAATGTCTTTGCTGCCTTGTATATCTTGTAATAAAGGATCAGAATCAAGGCCAGTGGGATATAGAAGGCGCCAAATGTAGAGTAAATGGTGGAAACAATGTGGTCGTGTTTGATGATGCATTCATCATCCCTGCTGGTTGTCTGGTGCCGCCAAAACAAAGGTGGCATGGAGATAAAAATAGATATGATCCATACCACTGTGATCATGATGCCAGCGTGCTTAGGTGTCCTTTTTCGTGCATATTCCACAGCATCTGTGATCGCTCTGTACCGGTCCAAAGCAATGGCGGAGAGATGCAAGATGGAACATGTGCAGCACGTAATGTCCACGCTCAGCCAGATGTCACACACCACTTGCCCCATGATCCAGGTCTCCTTTACAATGTAGACAATACTGAAGGGCATTACTAGGACTGCCACAAGGAAATCAGTCACTGCAAGTGAGCAGATTAGATAGTTGGCAGGGTGGTGGAGCTTTCTTGTTACAATTATTGCAGTCATCACAAGAGAATTGATGGCCGTTGTCATTAGTGCAAGCACAGATAGGGTAATGGAAATGAGAATCTTGGATGTTGCCCATTTAAATAATTCTTCTGATGTACCATTTTGTTCAGTTGAGTTTATTAAATCCATGTTCTTTTTTTAAAGGTGATCTTTATCAGTAGCAGTTCTTTATCAGTAGCAGTTACCTGTTGGAAAAGTAAAAACATTCAGAAAGTACATCCTAGAATCACAGAATCATAGAATAATTAGGGTTGGAAAGGATCTTAAGATCATCTAGTTCCAACCCCCCCCTGTCATGGGCAGGGACACCTCACATCCTTAGTCTCCAATCTGAATCTCTTGATTTTTGTCATCTTAAAAGACTATGGACCCCAAACTTACAAGACTTGTCACTGGAAATAATTTTGGATCCAGACAGATTTTCCTGGCTAGCACTGTGTGGGGGTGCTCTGCCTCCAGAATAGGGGCCTCCTTTTTCTCCTTGATCATGCTGTTGGGAAGGGCACGTTTGCATGCCAGGGGAGAGGAGCATCCTGTATTGCCTGAGATGGCACTGCCCTGTGGGGTGGTCCATGTTGCTGCACAAGGAACCAGACTTGTTCCTCAAGCAGGGCAGCAGCATCAGTGCAGCCCCTGGGGTGCAGAGCCAGCCCTCCTGCTAAATACTTACTCTGAATGGATTGCAGTCAAGTTTTGAAACTGGGTAAACTCACCCTGAAGTAAGTACTAATACTGCATTTAGGCACTCTCTACTCCACTAAGCAATGTAATGGCTCTTGAAAACTTTAATCCACAGGAAGCAGGCATAATACTTCTTTTCTGTCTAAAATCTCTCCCCATCAGTATATGAGTCCTCCCTTGTGTATAGATAAGCATGGGCTTTCTAAACAGGGATATAGTTTTCAAGAGAAAACAGAATCTTGAAACATTGCAGTACAAACAGGAGAAGAAACAGTTCCATGTGCAAAGGTTTCTTTTAGGCAGCTCTAAAATGAAACAGCTGGATATATTTTAAAGCTTCAAATGGTTGACTTATTGTCTAACTGAAATATTATACATAGAACCATAGACTGGTTTGGGTTGGAAAGGACCTTAGACATCATCCAGCACCAGCCCTACTCCACAGGCACAGACACCCCCCACCAGACCATGTTGCTCCAAGCCCTGTCCAACCTGGCCTTGAACACTGCCAGGGATGGGGCAGCCGCAGCTTCTCTGGGCACCCTCTGCCAGCGTCCCACTATCCTCACAGGGAAGAATCTCTTCCTAATGTCTAATCTGAATCTCCCCAGAGACCCCAGAGTAGAAGACGACGTGTGTGGTATCATGGAAGTTTTCTGTGTTCATCCAGTTGAGCTGTGTTTCCCCATCTTTATCAGTAGCAAGGCTGGAAGCCTCAGTTTGAAGCAGGACACGCTCCTCCACCAAATGGTTGCAAATCTTTCTGAGGTGAGCAATACCTGCTCAGTTCCCTGTGGATTTGTTTTTATTTCCTTGTACTCACTTTTAGAAATGCCTGAGCTGTTCCCCATGGGAAAACTTACTGAGACACAAGAGCCTAAGAACAGTACTGCATCAGAGAGAAGGTCCATATGCCCAATACTTGGTCTCCAAAGAAGCCAAGCATCAGTGTCTAAAGGAAAGCCTATGAGCAGAGCAGGTCTACTTCTGCCAGGGTCCTGGGGGTGCTCAAAGGCCTCAGGGTCTGGGACCCATCTCCTCTGGGACCTCCACCCCACTGCCTCCTCCCAAAGGCCCAGGGAACATAGCTCGGCTTGGGGCCTTCTGTCCCTGCCTGAACCATGTAGCTGAGCCTTTCCCTGTCTCCCGGATGGGTCTGGGACCTTCATTGCAGACAGCTGCTCTCTTATACTTACGTCATCGCTTGTCATGCAGAGCTGTTGGCATCACGCAGCATAACCCATTCCAAGTCTAGTATAATCTGGTGTAGTACATTCCATTCTATCCCGTCCTATTCTGCTCCATTCCATTCCATTCCATGCCATTCCATTCCATTCCATTCCATTCCATTCCATTCCATTCCATTGCTTCCCACTGGAGTCAGAAGGAGATTGTGATGCCTCCTAAGAGCCTGTGCCTTCCCTGTCTCCTGCCCGCACTCACTATTTAACAACTCCTCTCCTCTGTTGGATGACCCATGGCAAGGGTGTCACGCTTAAAGAACAGCAGCTCCTACACAAAAGCAGGTGAATTGCGGGTCCCAGTCTGCACAGTTCAACCCCACACTTATTTTCTAAGCTTTCCTGCTGCTCCAGGTAAACCTGGGCTGGGTCTGCAGTCAAAGCAGCTGCAGAAACACCTCCCTGTCCAGCTCCACACTCAGCTCCCCTCCCCGTTAAAGTCATGTCCCAGTTCTGGTTTGCATCAAGAAGGCCTTGTTATGGTGCTGAAGGGATCTTGGAGCAAGTGTCAGTGCTGGTTAGGAGGGACAGAAAAAAGTTCTGTTTCACCTGCAGTTGCATCTTTTTTCTGTGCCACACTGCAGGGACACATTCCATTTTTTTCCAGGCAAGCATTTACATGAGCTGGTTGTCAGCATGTCTGGATGCCTTCAACAGAACCTCCCCAGCATTACAGCTTTTCCTCTGGAGGATCTCTCCTGCCTTACATGCTTGGTGTCCCCATCTTTATTTCCACCACCATGGCATTTATTTTAACATACAAAGTGGTTAGGCCTCTGCCTGGTGGGAAGCAGTACAAAAGCAACAGAAGTGTTGAGCTGTTTTACATAGCAAGGCAGACTGATAGGAAGAAAAGCTGCCAAACATTAAAATGGTAATAAAAGATGTGCATTAGCAACTGGGGATAAAACTTACCTGTTCATCTCTGGCTGGCAGTATAGATTTGCTTGAGGGTGTTGTTTCCTTACAAACTCATGCCTGCACAGTGGCCAGCTGCCCACTGGAGAAGAAAAGGCTCTGGGGTGTCCTCAGAGCAGCTTCCAGTACCTAAAGGGGACCTACAGGAAGTCTGGAGAGTCCTCATCAGGTTGCTGTGCTGGCACAACAGGTTAAAACTGCCTGACTGTCCCCCTCTGCTCAGAACTGGGAGGAAACAAACCCAAATGGGGCTTCAAGGCATAGATTAGATTATTACTTTTCCTCAAGTTTTGCTATTCTGTGGTTGCTGCTGAGGAAAACTGAAGAAAACTTGGATGCTGGTTGTTCTGCTGATGACTCTACAGGAACAGTGTAACTCCTCTGATGGCTCTGCAGGAAGCAGAAAGCATGGAAATACCGACTGAATAAATTCTCAGTTATGTTCTGGGTATGTGCACCCAGCTTTCTTATCAAGAAGGGTGTCTGATCACTCTGTGGACTGCAGCTTGAGCTTCCAGCTTTTTAGCCTAAAGCTTGTAACATGCAGTAAGAGGATCACTTTCCATCCTCTTGCATGTTTTGACTTGCAATTTGTTGTGTAAGATCTACCTGATGAACCCTTAAGTGGGGTTTTAACTGACACATTTTAGACTGCAATGAGTGGGTTACACTTGTGTGCAACATGTAGATGTAGATGTGGCAACTTGATACCGCATGTAGAGAAAAATGGGAAATAACTGAATGATTTTTCATAGGAAAAAATGTCATTAAAATAGCTAAAGCTTTTTGGTATTATGTTGGAGTGGCTGAAAAAGAATCTCATATACTGTTAATAACCTTGGACCCAGCTCACTAATTTGGTTTGATATTGTAACCTGGGACAATATTTAGTATGCTGTTGACCTACTCAGAAAGTTTTTTAGCACTGCTTGACCAACACTTAATTGTTTGGAAGACAAGGAATGGAAATGTATTTGACATGGTGATATTTACAAATGCTGAACAGAATCTTGTCCTGTATGTGAGCTCATCACAGCATGTGAGTGTTCTCTTTCTCTCTGTGTCTCTCCTCTGAACTTGAAATACACTTCACACACATAAAAATAGATCTTTCATCATGTCAGTGTCACCTTAAAACCTTCTGAATCAACAGTAATTGCTAGTTTGCAGATATTTTTGTCTACAGCTAGCTGCTTTCCAGAGAAGGAATAGGCACATATGGTATTATCTGGTGAAAGTTCAACCTCTGCAAAATAAATCTTAATTTTTAAGCTTGTATAAATACATGGAGGAAAGAAAGTTTACTGGGAAAAACTATGACTTCTGTTGATACCCAGCAGTTGATCATATTTTAGAAGCATTACTCATTATGGTTAATTACCTTATAAATTTCTAACTCTTTGGATGTTAGTCCTTAATTGCAAGCAAGCAAAAAGCAATTTAGAGCTAATGAAAGCTGATTAATAGCTTTTGAAAGACTATTCAGTGTGAGACGTGGAGTAAGGAAGATATTGCATGGGTGCGTTCACCAAACTGGTGTGTAGATTATACAGGTTACTTTAGTGCTGCAGTGATCTGGAGGCTCTTTGTAAGAAGCACAGAAAATGTGCTTACTTGCCGTGTGCAGTGATTATGCTTCTCTGTGTGGTTTTAAGATTATCAGCTGGTATGCTTAGATTTCATTCAGGCTGCTAGCTTGGAAGGACAGCAGTACTGAAGATTACCACATTGAGTTTTAGTGTACTGCTGTTAGATTATTGTGCTGCAGTCTGCTGTTCATGGGGCATAACCTGTTCTCTAATGGTACCCATCCGGATATATACCCTCCTGTTCCTACATCAAAGTTGCCTTTACAGTGCTGTCAGCAGGTGTCCACCGTGGTCCCTGTGGGCTGCTGTGAACACCGGAGTGTGGCTCCATCCAAGACAGACAGAAGTACGGTGATAGGATCTGCCCTCCAAGATAGTGACTCCCTTTGAGGTTACAGTGGGATGTGCTGCTTAGGACTGCCAAGCACAAAGTTTGGTGGCTTTCCTATCCGAGTTGTATAGGGATCCTCTGCTAACTGTGGTGAGAATTCACACAAGGTTTTTGGGTGGTCATTAGCTAAAAAGATTGGTTTATAAACGTGTGGAGTTGGAACACTGGCTGTGCTTAAGGACTGATGCTTCTCTCTCTTTTGATCACTTCTACAATGAAATAATTCTGGATTTTCTCTTACTAAGTTGAACTCAGTTCAGTCAGTGGTCATCAAGGGCTTCTGTCCTCAGGAAGCAACTGAACCACTACAACCAAGTATGAAGGATGGCTCTGTAAACAGTGCACTGGATTGGGATGCAGGAGAG